TTTTGTTGACCTTTGTCCATGGAAGGTCCCTGCAAAATTTCATTGAAATTGGTTCAGGGGTTTTGGAGAAGAAGTCGAAAATGTAAATTGTTTACGGACGCACGACGGACGACGACGGACAAAAGGTGATCGCAATAGGTCACTTGAGACTTTGTCTCAGGTGACCTAAAAAAGCTGCTAGTAGCACACCGAATGTGTTTCTAGAAATTATGTACATTTATATAATTATATGCTGATCAATATAAAATACAGTTAAACACATTGTTTTATTGTAACTAGAATGTCTCAATTTTGCAATTACTTTGTGCGATTTACACTGTGGATGCTAAATTATCCCGAGACAGAAAGGATATAAAAATTTCGTATATCCATTCTGGGCAAGAGCTTGGTACGCCCAGACACGTAATTATGTATGACATAGCTGGTGACTTCTAATTCATATGCACAGGTATGTCTTACTTTACCTCATTGAAAATAAATGAGGAATTCAACGAGAATTTTAACTATGGATGGGTGTAGCCATCTGCACAACACTGTTGTCATGTGATAAATCTGTTAATTATAACTATACACAAACTTTTTGTATGTAACTTCGGAATTACACAAAAATTGTGAATAATGAGTATGTAAATTATGACCTGTATTTTGTCTTGGTTTATCATGTTCAGTATTCCAAGATTTTGTAATTAGGACATAAATGTAGGACGTCCGTTATAAATCATTATGGGCCTAGCACCACGGAAACAATTAAATAATGTCTCTGTTAACGTAACCATGCATGTCTCCTACAGCCGAACCATATCACCCAGAGTCACGTGAAATTTACCAAACATGATGCCACTTCTTGTATCAGAGAAATGTTAACAGAACTAGGAAATTATTTCAAATTAAAAAGCTAGGTTATAATCTGTATCTCGCATACTTTGTGATTTCAATAATTGGGATAAAAAAAAACACACCACAGATATAGGTTCTTAAATCTAGGGTAGGTAGAGAAAGCAGAAAAAGATTTATTTTTTTCGGACTAAATTAATATACCTATAGTTTCAACTGTTTCAACCAGTAAGGTAGACCAGTGCAATCTGATAACCTGTACCATAGGTACTCAACGCTGTAATATTTGTGAAACTTTCATCAATGTATTATAGGATCCTGGTACTTGTATCATCAATCGACAATTTGTCACGACAATCATGTTGAGGGTTATGGTCCACTGCAGCCAAAGCAATATATGACGGCTTCTGTATTTGCGGGGAGATTTAGTGGTGTACTGTGTATCTATCATACCTTCACTTCAATGTGATACATTAGAACTATGTCAGATGTGCCGATATTGTACTGTGCTGTATATATGTGTGAACTGAACATGTATATATGCTACGTACACAGACACCTGGTTTTATAACAAGGGTACCGTATATGTAAATATCACAGTTCACCAACAGGTGAAAGCATGTACCTGGTACACAAATAAGGTAGATTCCTATAAAATTCCATAGATTTTAAGATAAAAAGCGTATAATTTGAAAAAAATTAAGCACCAATGAATCCCATTCAAAAATAGTTGTTTGACACTGTACATATATTATAACAACTTTGTAAATATTACCGCCAATTAATGTATAAGTATGATATAGCCACAGGTATGTTTATATTTAATACTGGCTAAGTTGCTATATGCAGGTATGTCAACTATAGCCCCGAGGCAAAACCAGACACTTGGTGTGACACAGGTCAATATCCACGGAACCCAGACACACGTATACATAGGTACAATCAAAAGAAGGCCATCCTGAAAATTTAAATAAACTGTATGGACGGATGAACAAAACTTCAGTATGATAGATGTTGACTGTAGATGCAAATGAGATATACCTGACATTTTAAACGGTCATGTGTGTACATATGTCAGGTTACTGACATAAACAGTTGTTGTTCTTTGGGTAATCTAAAATCTATCATTTTCTTGATATTCTTCCTTTTTTTTTTTTTTAAATGAATAGCTTTATCAAGTTAATTTTTTAATTGATAAAGACCCAATTCCAACTTCATGTACGCATTTTAAAACTAATTTTGAACATAAAGGTGAACCATGCTTTGATGTAAAATTGTATCTATTCAATCATGTTTTGATTGATAAACGTATAGGTAAAAAGGTTGAAAATATGTATATTTGCTTGTAAACATTTGATGTTTGCCAGCAAATAGTAAGACCTCTAGCTCAACTCATGTGTGATTTTTGGAATAACAAAATGAATACATAATAATAGGGTTGACCTGAAAGAGTGTGATTATTAAAATCAAAAGCTATAGCTCAGAACCTTTTGAAAATGTCAAGATATTTTAAAATCAAATGCAAGAAAAATAAACACTTTTCACGAACAACAGTCCTTTCTTTGTTCACAGGACTGCTTTGTTCCTTCCTGAGTTGATGAAACTTTTTTGCCCAGGATTATGAATGAGTGACATTGTTGAAAGGTGAAATTATTATAGTGATTAAAAATTTGGGTGAATTCGATGCACAACTCTTTTATAATTTGTACTCAATAATGCTGTTAGCTTAAAAACACTTGGACTTGGTTAAATCTGTGATTATATCACTCAATTTACTTTAATCTTAAATCTTGGAACATGGACATTTATAAAATAAAGTATGATGTTTGTCTTCATTTGTACCAGAATTACAAGTAAGGTAGAAAAACTTCAAATAGTGCTCATTGTACTGTACAAAAAACTTAACCTACGAAATACACACAAGTTTCACTGGATTTGAGATGTTTACGACAGAAAATGTTCAACTTGTGTGGGAAACCACTTTGTCATATTAAAAACACTTGACAGATGACCTGTCTCCTCTGTCTATGCAATCTAGTGCCCTAATCACGTGGTACGTACGCGCAGCAAAACAACTTTCTGTGACATTTTATTGTTATCGTGGAAATGTCAAGATTTGAAACAATTAAGCTGTAAGAGAAATTTTAGCCTTTCAAAATGAGTACTTTTCTTATAATTTCTTTAGTATACAAAGCTCAAACATTCTGGACGAGACTCAAGTTCCTCCATCTGTCTGTCAACTTTTCATGCACATGCAAACTTATATATTGCACACATCATGGTGTCAACAAAATTTAAATGGAAAAATTATATATATATATATATACTGTATAACACATAAAACAGAAGTCAGACTATTGCAGGCTCTGAGTGCTTTCACTCCTCCTAAAAAAACAGAATGGCCAAAAAAACTATCTATTAAAGACATGATTTTCTAATTTTTGTTTTATGCTATATACCTTTCTATTTTTAGAAAATCATTATCTGGCAATGGAAAGTACTATAAAAAACAACCTTTTGTGGTGTAGCACATGTACACAATATTTTTTCAGAAAGTTCTGTAAATTGCTGACAATTTAACAATTTTGACAATTTCGCTGGCCAATGATCATGCATCCGATCTAAGAAAGTGTCAGAAAAAATGAAAAGACAATCATGGGTACAGCGCACAAGCAGTCTCAATGTGACTACTACTTCACATGTACCTGGCCAGGGCTAAAATTGATTTTAAAATCCACTAGTCATGCAGTCCGGCTAGTATAGTTTCCAATTTTACAAGTATATGTATACTTATATGCGCAAGTCCACTATAACACAAAATGATTCATGATCAAGACGACAAGGAATATAAAACACTGGCTGGCGATCACGGGCAGTTTTTAAAACCACTAGCTATATTAAGTCCAGCTATAGATTCACTAGTTTAAGACTATTGGGCTACCCTTATTGTCTAGACCTGCAATGCCAGCCGACAGAAATTTAGGATATAGGTGTCACTGTTAGTGCAGGTGTTACAAGATAAATTGCATGTAGATATATGGGCACAAGAAACATAGCCGTTTTGTGTCCGGATGTTTGAAAGGTTTTCTTTTAAACCTTGATAAAAGTCTATGTAGCTAATGCATAATGTTTCCACATCACAGGGCCATATCTACAAGGTAGGATCCCGGAGTGGACGTTTGTCAGGGGATTATCCCCCCCCCCCACCTCCGAATTAGTGGTGAGGAAATCGTGTAATGAAAAACAAGCAAATTTGAGAGAAAAAAATAATGGAAAAGCCAGAAATATACAATTAATCAAAAGCAAGACACACCCACATATTTCCATAAATACAAAATCTGAAACTAATTGGTAATGTAACATTATAAAATACCAGTGTAGGCCCCCCTTCATCCACCGTTCGTTGAAATTTCTTGATTTGCCCCTGAATTACATCTTATTATGGAGAACCGACTACATGTACATCTTTTAATTGTCAGGTTTTCACATCTTATATAAGGATGTGGAACATCATTATTATACATGTATTTTAATTATCAATCATGTAATAATCACAAATATGATGATATTGAGCGACATATCTGAAGAGATAAATCTAACTGGGACATGTACAGTAAGCTAGGATTTGCAGAGAGTCCACTATAAACTGACTATAATAACAGGCTTCAATATTTTGCCACTAACAGGATGTGACCATCTTTTGCCACTAACAGGACGTGACCAATCATCATTTGGAACCTGTGATTATGGCCTGTAATATAAGCTGATTTAGGATTGGTACATCACAACTATATACAACACACTAATAGATCACCACCCACATACATGATGTGCATGTACCTGATCCGTCGGAAATGATGGTCATATTTATATACATGGTATGTGCATATATACATGTACATACATAAATATGCAGAACTAGAAGCTCAAAGTATGGTCATCCATCTAAATGGCCACACAGTCAAACAATAAATATCATAAACATGGACAGAAAACGAACAGAAACTAGATATTTTTTTTAATAAATAAACAAAAAATTGAATAAATATTTTCTGAATTTACCCATTTTTTTTATATGTGACTGTGTTATTTGATGATATTGCAACAAAAAGAAAGATTCGCTGTCACAAAGCTGACTGTATTTCATACATGCAATATTGATAAATGTTTCTCAAATCTATATATGTTGCAAATGAATTTATAACAATTTGAACTTGAAACACAAGCAAGATTGAAACTTTCCCAGAACCAAAATGACAAGGTATTGTAATTGCACTATGTCCGCAGCCAACAATATTATAGTGACCACACACCACCAAAATGCCTGACCACAAGGTGCGACACCACTGACCAATCACTCGTGGCTCTATATACATCACTGGTAGAGTAACATAAATCACAAGGACATTAAATGTGTACCTACGTGTATATATGGTCAGCGTGGAGGAAGTATCGGTACTTACAATGTTTAAGGATATCAGCAATAGATATATATTATACCTATATATGTAATTATTGAGTCAAGTGAATATAGACTAACACTTCAGGAATTTTTATTTGGTATTTTTGTGAATTTATGCCTAAATTCTTAGTTGGGAAAATTGTAGCACATTGAAACATCTTACCTCACAATTCTCCTCTTTTTTCTCTCTCTCTCTCTCTCTCTCTCTCTTAAATAACATTGATTTTCCTGATATCCTTGTTATAAATTAAAGCATCTCTAAGAAAATTGGTGAAAGCTATTGAATTTTGCGAGAACAAAAAATATTTTGTTGCTAAAAATTAGGAAGAAAGAAAAATGTCTTAACCTCATCATTGGAAATAGTTCTGAATTTCAGCCTGAATATATAGGTATATATATATATAGAAAAGCCCCATCATACATAAGTTGTAAAACATTGTACCTTAAAGCAGGGCATTTCTGATGTCAAATACAATGTGTAAGAAGTTTGTTAGATCTTTATTGCGAAGATATATCACTATGAGTGACTACATAAAAAACACCATTAACATGAAGGTAAACAGTTTATGTGTGTATGTAACATTCTCCAGTGGTTTTATATATATGTATGTACTGTATCATGTATAGCACTTAAATTAAAATAATTCTGTTCCTGGAACAAATTTACTGGGTATAACATAAAGGAAGAACCAATCAGGCCCACATGCGGCCAATGATAAGTACTAGGGTATAGTCCCCGGTATATCAACCAAGTCCACTTCCGCTATACATTCCACCCAGTCCCTCCTTCAAAAACGTCTTTGATCCCGAAGACACTATACATCCTTTCTTGGGTACATTTAGTTGGGTGCCAAGGCAAATGTAAGAGGAAAGGAAAAATGCAAAGGCTACACTGAGATTCGAACCTGGGACCTTAGAACTAATTAACTCTAAACAGACGCTCCAGCTCTAACCAATTGAGTTACCTAGCTGGCTGACATGTGATAACCTAGTCGAGTTCAACTACAATTGTTACAGAATGTACACCTTTTCCAATACTTCCTATAACTTCTCCATTTCTTTGTAGAAAAAGATCGACCCTTTCTCTCAGTTCTTACCTTTCCTTAAGAAACTTCTTGTGGACACACTTGGTGTTCCCTGTGCCTGTGTGTTTGACACACACCTCGTGACGGGCACATTCAACACTGCATTCTGTGTGGTAAAACAACCAAGGTTATATTTTATCAATACTGCAAGTACAGCCTCACTATATCAAACACAGAGTAACATGTTAGTTTTGTACCTATTTTTGTAAAAAAAAATGTACATTACTTTGATATCAAGCTTGTTTTCTGGTCTCAACACAAGCAGATTCCAATACAAGCTTTAATAACATTGTAATAAGACAAAAACCTTGCCCACTACTGTATTTATCCTGCAATATGCCCAGAATGCAACATCAACAAATCTTTTTCAATGCAAGCTTTTATCAGTTTCTCTGTAAAAATGTATAAGTAGTGTCTCTTTTAAGTTATAGCAATTATCTAGAATATTTCACAAAACACATCAATGTCATTATCTATTACTCATCAAAACTAAGTTATCAGTAATATAATAATCTCTAATTAATAATCTTACGTTTTGCGTATGTAAATTCCATGTGTTTCTTCTTGATGACATCATCCTGGTCTATCATAAGGGCACTATGTTTTCCCTGCATAAAAAAAATCAAGATGTACATAATACTGATCATGATCAAAGCTCAATTTATCTACTTCCTAGATTGTACTTGCATCGTTCGCTCACTCAGAAGCTCTCCAATATTTCTTTATATATGAAAACATGAAAGCTTTCTTCAGCATTCATTGTAACTTGATCAAATGTATTGATCCCCACAACGGGGTTGAAAAAGAATTATTTTACATTGTGCTTAAAACGGAAGTTACTAGGTGAAAGAAATTTGACAATAAATGATAAATAACTATTTATGGTATGTGTTGAAACAGTGTAAAATATTCCTTTGTTATTAATGGTACCTGTACAGAATTTTTGGAAATATAGGTCACAGTGACCTAGTTATTGTGCATGGCACATCTTTTCCCTATAGATGTTATTATGACAGCAGAATTTGAAACTACGGTCTGTAAATTAAATCTCATGTTTTCCTAAGCTTGTTCCTGTTCAGTTGATCATGATGAGTAGTAGATATAGATCACATTGTGCTAAACCTAGTTAATGTTATGTTGTGAAACAGAGTTGGTATGTAGTGTATATATATAAACATGATCATGAGGTAACTGTGGCCACCTGAACAATTTCTTTTGATGCTCATGATCAGTGGAATGGAAAATATATGTCACTTATAATGACATGCAGGACACATTTTTATCCCAAGAGCTATAGCTACTGTGACAAATTACTATATAGCAGCTGGTAGATATAACATAAGCCTGCATGAAAAGGTGAATAAACTAACCATATATATGGTCAAAACAAACTTCATTCACCCTAATATGCAGATTACTTAACTTGAGTGAAACAAATCCACAACCATGCAACTGTCACTCATTGGGTAAACTTTTTTTTCATTTGATGATCAATGGTTTCAAATATACAGCATGTATCTAGATGTTGGTATTAATTAGCATTTCTTTAAAAGTTATACTTTGGGCTGTTAGGTTGGGATTCAGGTTTTTGTTACTTGCTATAGTTTTAGATTTAATTTAATTTCTTTTTTGAAGGTGCATGAGTGAGTCACATATTTGCATACAGGACATAAAATTTATAACACTGAGACAGACAGGGGACAGAAACCAACAACCTGTACCTAACAACATAGATACCGTAAATGACACATTCAGCAGGACTTTACATTATTTATTTTAGTGTATTCTGGCCGACGTGTGCATGCTAGTGCCGGAGCAAAGCTACCTGAAAATGTTTGGCCACACAGTATACGTGTCCCCAATCCTTTCTATTCAGGACAATATTTGGTTTGTGTGCTTTATGTCCTATTAACAGCTATATGGTCATTTAACATAAGGACGTGCCAGGTTTTAGTGGTGGAAGAAAGCCGGAGTTTTAAGGGGAAAAACAACCGACTTATGGCCAGTATCTGGCGACTGCCCCACGTAGGTCTCGAACCTGCGGCCCAGTGGTGGAAGGCTAGCTAGTGGTAGTGTGTTTTTTTATCAAAAAGTAGGTAGGACAGAAGAGAAAAGAGAGCCCTCAATTAAGTGTTACTATGGAGATCTAGACAGCAGATCAATTTTGGTTACTTCTATGTCCTCCAGCAGACAAAGAAGAACCCCCACCCCCTTCCGATTCTGCAAGAGAAGCGAGATGGTGTTGAGGAAGGTTGGGGGACTCATATATAGCTGCGAATACGTAGCTATCTCAGCCTTTCTGATGACGAGAGATTTTTTTTGTCATCAGAGGAGGCTGGGTATTAATATTAGTACTAGGGGACTCGTACAGTCAACCAGTGGGATACAGTAAGCATAAATGCTTATTACAATTTTATACTTGCCAACTCTCCCTAAAGTGGAGCATTTTCAACCAGTGAATTTGCTAAGCTATTCCTATATTCTAACATCTAATGATTTCATCTGTTGTTTTTACCCTAGAGTGTATACATACTCACATTTTATTTCTGCTTTAAATTCTGATCACGATTACGAAATTTCAAAATGTTGGTAAGTATGCAATTTAAGGAGATCGGAAAGGATATTTAATATTTAGATCCTTTCCTAATGATAATTTTGTTAAATTTCCTTCGGATCTTTTGATTACATTTTCCCCCACAGTAGTTTCAAAAGATGAACTTTCCATATGTACGCCGTATTACAGGTATAGTTATTAATATACACAAAGACAGACATATATACCTATCTGACAAAGATGGTTTCACTCCGTGCATATTTTTGCTCTGTCACATTGTATATTAAAATTGTTTGTGTGTTGCTTAAATAAACGGGAATTTACTAAGAAATAAATAACGCATATGAAATTATGAACTATAATAACTTCAATAAAAATAATTTGCACATATCTTACACAGTTGAACCACAGAATTAGATTAGATGTTATCTAAGTCTGTGGTTGAACATTGTTTTGACTTTAAAATTCAACATGAATTGTTCCTTATTATTTACAATAATAACTTCCTTTTCAAATTAAATACATCTTAATTGATTTAATGCCAAATTTTAATCTTAGATCAGATCTAAGTTTGTGATAGCCTAATACAGAATACACGCTTACATTAGCCATGATGCAATATAAAGTAGGACAATTTTTTGGATAGGTGCCAAAATTTAACATTCATATGAAGTACATTTCCATAACTTATGACATTAATGGGAATATGTTTGTTTATATCTCCGTCACATAGCAAAATGTGTATAACATGAAATATATATATATAGTGCCTTGTACATGATCAACCTTCCATCCGATTTCTTGAAATTTCTTTGATCGTAGCTAGAATACATTTTTCTATACTTGTTATATATAATTATTTTAAAGTTTATTAGGAAATCTATTTAAAGCAAAGAAAGAAGAAAAGAAACAATCCTTTAATATTTATAGACAATCACCTTATGTAATGATTTACTCGGACCACACTGATCACGCGATACCTGTAATTCTAAACAGGTAAATACAGGTGGTACCATCCCGTGTTGTCACTTACCATGAAATGGTGTGTTCGGCTGTGTAACTTTCCTTTTGCTTCACGGCGAAGATTTTTGAAATCTCCCAAATTTAAACGTTGCATTTTGCTATGGACGCGACTTTTTAAATGTTCTGCATCTACGTTCCATACCATAATAGCCAGCACCAAAATCGGTGCTAAACGTGATCCGACCATCTTAGCTGTCCTCGAAAAGTTTACAACACTATAAGCTTACTCGCATAACTTCTATTATTAGTGGGAGTGTTTATTCTGTCCTTCAGGTAAATCAGGTAGGACAAAATGGCGATACGACGCGTCAATTATCAAAACAAAGATTTGAATAAAAGTGTCAGCATTGTAAATTTGAAGAGTCAATCAAGTGTCACTACATTTCTGCTTTGATATTTCTCTGAGCTATAATACTCACAAATCTGTATTATGGGCTTGTACTTTTATCCCGATAATAATAGACCCGTCCAAAAGTTTTGACAATGATTCACTGACACCTAGCGGAAGTACTTACCTGTACAGGTGATTTGGGGAACAAACCTGTGGGAGTTATCGCCCTTATGACGTAGTTTTCGACACCACATTAGTACGTGCCAATTACACAGGGACCTGCTAACTTGTTTAAGTGGGTACGTTTGGACCTATCCTGTTGTGAAGTGTAATGTAAGACGTTATTGGGCTTTCCTAAATATTACAATCTTTACGTCAGGATGGTTTCAAACAAGTTCTCAGGTCCCTACATGTGGTCATAGTGAGGGAAAAAATCGCCATGAATTCCAGGGGGAAAGGCGAACATGGTCTTCATTTTTAACTCGTTCTTGCAGTATTTAAGTGATTCTTGTATAATTATGATATCAGGTCTTATTGAAAAATAACGGGATTCCAATTTTCAAAAGAATAAATAACTTGATTTCAATATTTTATGATACTGATAAATAAAGAAAAAATGAAGATATTTCAGAAAATCGCATGCCGCACTTCCTTGATTTCCACTAGTTGATATTATGAAAATTTAAAAGATAAATTATCAATCAATTTAGCCTATGTACTTTTTGGACAAATGATGTGAAGATCCACGCCCCTTCTTTTTGGAAAAAAAGTATAAAGTATTTAGAGAAAAACGCAATAAAACAGGAGGAAAGAATTGGTAAAACCCGAAATTTCTGATAATTATAAACCGAGACGCGTCTATTACTATCAATATTAAGTTAGGTGAAGGAGGCGGTATATTTCAGGATATCCGAAAAAAGTGACATCCCACCATTTTGTTCATGTTTTTATGACATCAATGGTATTATTTGAGTCAATTTGATATATAATTGACGCTGAGAGTACTCTAGGCGTGAACCCCACCCCCCTTTTGCCATGACTTCAGGATATTTTCATAACATCAATAGTAATTCATTTGAGTCAATTTGACGTAATTGTTGACGCACAGTCAAGTTAGTTATGCTGGATAATCATATGAAAACATATTTTACCTTAGATAAACAAAAAATCCCATAATGCCACCATTAAAAAGTACAGATATAGTCCAGTATATATTGCTATCGCATCTATAGTCTGTTCTAATAAAGTTCGTTAACATTTACATTCACCTGATTACAAGTAAATGTAGATATTAGCTGTATTTCATAAAAAAACATGTAATTATTACTTAATTTCCCTTTTTTTATTTAATGCCCCTCTTTCTTTCAATAAAAAAAGCATCATAAAAACAAAATACAAATGATAAGGTGTTCAAAATTAATGTATTATATAATGGAAAGATTCTATCTTATTGAATATATATATATATACTCTACAGACATAAAAATTCAACCGATAATCATGTCAATGTCCAATTTATGGTGGTAAAAATGTATAAAAATAAATGTGTAGGTTACAATAGAATGGCACTCTTTAGCTGACAGAAGAAAAGATCGAAGACTTACTAGTACCACTCTCTACAACATTAAAATTACTTAATAGCTATAAGGAAAACAACTCTCATCCCTCCAAATCGCCCCTTCCGCTTTTCTCACCGAAATTCTTGCCAAATACCATCATGCAAAACACAGTATGGAAAACAAAAAATTCCTAAGAGCTTTTTCCGACTGGAACAACTTACCGCGATATCTCATCTCTATTGATTCTCTTACCTCATCTCTATTGATTCTCTTACCTCATCTCTATTGATTCTCTAATCTCATCTCTATTGATTCTCTTATCTCATCTCTATTGATTCTCTAATCTCATCTCTATTGATTCTCTTGATTCCTCCAAATTAGCACTTTCTCACATTTATTAGACCACTTTTGTTATCCAGATTTTTTTAATGAGCGGTAACTCTCTCTCTTGCCATTTATCATCAACTTGTTGAAGTTGTGCAGTATCCCATAGACATCCTATTGGATGTTATACTGGTTCTAAACTTATAATGATATAAGTGATTTTTAGGGAGGGTTATTTAATACATAAGAATAATAAACATAATAAATACCTGGAAAAGAAGATTGTTGACTCCTATTGGTAGGATACATATCATAAAATCATTATTAATTTCACAATTCAACCACCTTTTTATCTCTTTACCAAATCCAGATGATTGTTTTCTTAAAAAATTAAATATAGAGCTTTTTAATTTTCTGTGGAATAGTAAAATAGATAAAGCTAAGAGAGATGTCATTGTTAAAGATTATGTAAAAGGGGGTCTTAAAATGTTACATGTACAGTCGTTTATTGACTCGTTAAAATTAACGTGGGTTAGGAGGTTATATATGAATTCTGGTAAATGGCAAGTGATCTTAAAATTATATTGTGATAAAAACATTCTGGCAAATTGTGGAACTGATTATATTTCAAAATGTCAAAATAAAACTAAAAATCTATTTTGGATTGATGTATTTAGGGCATGGAGAAAAATTNAATCATGTAAATGTCCAATTTATGGTGGTAAAAATGTATAAAAATAAATGTGTAGGTTACAATAGAATGGCACTATTTAGCTGATAGAAGAAAAGATCGAAGACTTACTAGTACCACTCTCTACAAAATTAAAATTACTTAATAGCTATAAGGAAAACAACACTCATCCCTCCAAATCGCCCCTTCCGCTTTTCTCACCGAAATTCTTGCCAAATACCATCATGCAAAACACAGTATAGAAAACAAAAAATTCCCAAGAGCTTTTTCCGACTGGAACAACTTACCGCGATATCTCATCTCTATTGATTCTCTTGATTCCTCCAAATTAGCACTTTCTCACATTTATTAGACCACTTTTGTTATCCAGATTTTTTTAATGAGCGGTAACTCTCTCTCTTGCCATTTATCATCAACTTGTTGAAGTTGTGCAGTATCCCATAGACATCCTATTGGATGTTATACTGGTTCTAAACTTATAATGATATAAGTGATTTTTAGGGAGGGTTATTTAATACATAAGAATAATAAACTAGTTTATTAGAGTGTCACATATTGATCAACAGTCATACTTAGTGGAATTCGCTTACATGAGATCGATATCCAGCCAATTATTTCGACTTATGAGACACTTAAAAGACATTCTATATACATGTATGTATATACATACACATGTTAAAATTCATCATTACTTAATTAAAAATAATCAAAAATCACAGCTTGCATTAAAGTCGTATTGCCTCATTATTACCTCACAACTGTTCCATTGCGTCCGAGGTTAATATATCTTTTCTCGGGTCGATGAATTACTGGAATTATTTCTATACATGCGGTAATACGTATGACTGAATTGAATATTTACCTAAGTAAATTACAAACCATCGCCTAGCATTGATAATTAAGATTTACCGATTGGGGCCTAAACAAACCTATTTCTTGACACATTAAGAATTGCATAAATTTATCTACGTCCTAACAATGTTTAATTTTCTGTACTGTAGTACCCTTCATCCAAGCAAGTTACATAACATCCTGACCCAGACATTGTGGTTCTTGGAAAAGACGTTGTGATATTGAATGCGTTTGAACGTCATTTTGAAACAAACTTGACAGCCCTTGATCTTTGCAAAAACATGAAGCAGATAAAGTAACTGTTATGGTCTATTGGAAGATCTTAACACATTTGACTCATGTAAACTTGAATGTTGGTCAAAGTTAATTTCAGAAGCCACGTGATAAATCTCAAGAATCAGAGCCTTATGGTTTTGAGAGGTCGTTTGAAATTCTGGACAACTCTTGAACGTATTCACCCCGGAATGTTATATGTAATATATAATGATCCTAATTCGTAATAAGGTTCTTCAGAATAGTGTCGTTGAAAGAAAAAGGTTGACAACGGATGGGCGCCGAAGTATGTCGAGGGTTGTCCAGATCCAGCTCCTGTTCAGCATCCAAATCGAACTAAAATGACCCCTGTAAGTCCTGGTGGTCAGGTGACGCAGTGGATAGCACAATTGCCTTTCACCAGGGCGGCCAGAGTTCGATTCTCCGATCGGATGTGAAAAGTTTATACACTAGATCTGATTGGCGATAATGGGCTTTGTTATACACTCCAGTATCATGGCGCAAATGAAAAGCCACCCAATCTGGATAGAGGCTCAGTTTCGATTCCGAGGTAGAAGATCCTACGAGACCTTGTTTCCATGAGTTGCCAAAGACTTTGCCGAGGGCCAACAGTTGAAAGTATCCTATCAGATATTCCCCAAATTTTTCGACAATGTTTCATTATGAAGTCCATAGCAGCCCCCTGGCATGGCGTAAGAGCACCCACAAGGATGAAAACAAGTATTCTTAAACTGGACCTCATTGGAACCAAAATTAAGTTTTAAAGGTAAGAAGTCGTTATTAGTTACAGCCGACTTTGGAGTACTACAAAGGGCAGTCCTGGACACGTTTCGCTTTTGTTTTTGTTTTTACGTTTATTAACGATTTCTACGGCGTGTGGTCCAGTCACCAAGGAACCTTTAATCTTATAGTGACTGTTGTCTGATCATCAAAAGAGAAGACTCTTTCATGATAGTTAGCCATGTCACAGTTGATTTCATCTAATGCCCAGGCAAAAGGTGACGGAAGAAGAGTCAGTACATGTATATGGTATGGGGTTATGGAAATGCTACCTCCGGGTGTAGACCTTTGGCTCAGAACTTCTACAGACTCGGTAGGGTTTCCATACTCACCAATGGTACGTGCTATTGCTAACTTAAAGAACAGACTTTGTTCTTGTGCATTGACTCTATGCCTTTTTGTATTTTTCACGACATAACTATACAAAACATGCATTGAATTGATATCATAACTAAATGGAACATAATACGTCCACGTTGCCAGTTTTCTTGTCAAAAGCTTGGCATTGTTCCCGAATATGTACAAAATTAAACCGGAACTTCATATTGAAAATATACGTATTTATTTTTTCGTTTAAATGGTATACACACAAGCATAATACAGTCATGATATGTATATTGAATATACCTCTGTATATTATCTAATAGTTGAACAACTTTCTAAAACTGAAATAGAATATGCATGTACACGAAGCGATTTTTACAGTCTGGAATATATTTAAAACGGTGATATCTAAAACCTGTTGGACTGTCGTCTGTTTCCATTATAAAACATTGTACACAACAATACCCGTCCATTATATACGTCGGTCCCTTCTTAGTGTAAATCACCACTTATAGCATCGTTTGTATCGGGGTACGTCTACCACTTAACCTTGCCAGGGATGTATTTCTCCATGAGCGCGCTGTAGTAGGCCTGGAGCTCATCCACATTAGGCGTCACAGCGCTCTTGGTGTAAAGGTCAAACTTGTTGAACTCGTTGATCCAATCCTTCATCTCCTCGTCCTTATTGTTACACAGGTATCCGTAGGCCCCACTAGTGTGCCAGGGGTAGAACGAGTGGTACCGGATCATGTACAGACCCTCTTCCGGTAGCCTGCACGTGTTGAGGTCAGAGGTTAGAACACGGTACAAGTATTCATCATGGCCCCATGACATAAGAACTTTGTCCAACCCACAGTTTTCCTCATACATACCGAGCCTTGTGTTGAATTTTTCATCCTTCATGTCGGGGTTGTCCTTAAAACTCTCGCGTCCGAATACGATTCTGTCGTCAGGGAGACAGCCAACAGGAAAAGTGTCACCCACCGTGGACCATTGTGGCTCCCCCCAGTGAGCCATTACCTTTCCCGCGTCATGAATCAGTCCTACTACGTGGAACCAGTCTTTGTCCGGGTGTTTCCTTCGGATAGCTTCGGCAGTTTGGTAGCCATGTAAGGAATTCGGAATATCAACATCAGGATCACTCTCGTCCAAAAACGCGTCAAGAGAATTCAGTGCTTCCATCATGGTCATTTCGGCGTGATTGAATTTGCAATAATGTTCGATCTTACCACGAACATACTCCACAGTCTGGAAAGTGTGCATACTCTTGTATGTGTCAATCACTCGGGCCGGACACGTGTGGATGTTAAAATCCCGATACGATGCCTTGTCCCTGTATTCCGGCCGATATTCCGAGGGGTCGGTTAAAACAATCCGTTTCTGCTCTGTCGAAGTCATTGTGTCTCCAGTTACAACGTAGCAGTGCCTGCTCCGAATGCAATACAGTTGTGTGAACGAGCCGTGATAGTCGCTTCAATTTTAAATGTCTCCCGTCCCAGATAAACCCAGGGTTGACCTCGGGGCGCTCGACCTCAATGATAAAAATTCATATCCCGCCCTGAATAAAATACAGAACATTTGACATTTCAGCCCTACTACTGTCGCGTATATATAGACTATTCATGATAAACTCCGGTTAGCTTACTGACTAGACTATGTTTGGTTTCATTTCCTATATACAACACGTGGGTGAGCAAATAGCTTTGAATTGTCAAGGTCGGCTAATGTCCTACCGCGTTGTCCGTCCGTCGTCTGCTGTCCGTTGTCCGTCATCTGTCAAAAACTTCCTAAAACCGTTCTTATGCTCAAACTCAGATTCTGTGCTCAAGCCTAATTTCTTTTCTTGTTCCTTTGATCAAATTCTATTTTAAAATGTCGACGATATGGAAGATTTTTGGATATAAAGCCGAATACAGTGTCGAGTATTTTACCATGGTTTGAGCACATAATCATGTTTTTAAAGCATAAGAACAGTTTCATGAATACGGAGTATATGTGGCGTTAATAGGGATAAAAGAAAACTCTTTCAGAAATAGAACTTTTACGAAGCTTAAACAAAACATGTTCGGTGGATTTGTACAGAGTTGATGCTTTTATTTTATGGAGGAAAATTTGATAATTTTAAACACATACTTTATCCACCTCTCGTTCCACTGCTTAACTGTGATGGTCTCCGGTATTAGACAGAACAAGTTGTTTTCTAGAGAGGCTTCATTTGGTGAGCCTTTTTTTTTTTTTTTTACTGCAGTATGAATAGAACAGGTTTTAGGCTTTACCGGGTTCCCATCTCTTAATCAGCCCCGCTACACGCCCCTATAGATTCTAGCGTCATTTCAGTTAGGTATTTTTGTTCCTGTCCTTGAAAACTTCTGTTGATAGAAATGTTGCAACCTTTTATATCTAAAACTACAAGTTAAGCCATGCGATTACAACATACGTAGCGGTCCGGGTAGTTTGAACAGGATACTGCTTGAGAAAATAAGCGACAGCTCATTTTCCATACCCGATGTTTTTAAATCCATTTAACTTGTGTAAGATTTGGGTATTCACGCATGCGACAAATTTTACCCAGATTTCATAGAGTTGATTTCTTACATCCCTGTTCATGCTTAGATATATAAAGTATATACGTTCGGTGTGTTCTCCTTTCTCCCACTTTTTAAAAAAAAACATAGAGGCAGTAATGTTGTGATAGCAGTTATAGTCTGTTTCATATATATTTTACCTGGTTTTTACCTGTGTTCTCCCACATTATCTGTATCATGTATACAGTACTGTCATATACATGTAGCTTTGAGCCATTTTTTTCATATCATATACCATTTTCATCAGCTAGATCGTACAAAACAGTAAGGCCACCATACACAAGGTTTTTTTTATTCATTTTATAGTATATATAAAGATGATAATGCTTTGATAAATTCATTTTTTTTAAATTGAAATTGAAATTGATTTAATTTAGGGTAATCAAATTCATATTGGAGCATTATTTTCAGAGATTTTTTTTTACCAATAAATGCGTCTTCAGTGTAATTATTAACTAGTACTAATTGTAACGGATGGCCGTTACAGAAGTCCCCCAACCCCTGTTGGACTTAGGAACTTTGGCAAAATCAGACAACAGCTAAATTGCGATCAATGAAAGGACTCCGTTTTGTTACCATGGCAACTGAGTTGTTCGAAACTGTTAATATTGTGTTCTGCATCCTTTCAAACCCCTATGTACCAATTCTGGGCAGATTCAGACCACAGCTAAATTTCGACCAATCACAGGCCTCTATTTCATTACCATGGCAACTAAATTTTTCGAAACTGTTACCATTGTGTTTGGCATCCCTCAAAACCCCTATGTACCAATTCCGGGGAGAATCAGACAACATCTATATTTCGACCAATCAGAACCAGTATATGGCAGCCATTTTGTTTAATTATAAAACGGATGTCATAGTTGAGTTCGCGGTACCATCATACACCTACATGCAAAATTTGGAATGCATTGGAAAATATCTATAAAACATGTAAAATAGGATAGGTGGCATAGGCTATCTTTGGCGAACACCTTTAGAAATT